AATGTGCTATATTATTTATTTTGAAATCCAAAATGAATATTCACCTAATTCACCCAAAATTTTATTAAATTTTGACTCTCTGTTTTTTTTGTACAGTTGTGATGTACCACTCTTCTTTACAACTTCACACTGTTTTTCAAAAAAAATTTACCGCTTTAGCTTACAGCTTTCTTTTTATAGTTTTGACTATGTTACCAATTGAACCCATTTATACTAGTGAACAAACCATGCAGTGAACAAACCATGCATGCAGGCAACACGTGACTGCTTGCTATATATATATATATATATTATGTTTTTCTTTTTCGCTTGCTATATTTTCAACGGTCACTGTAGTTTCCGATTTAGTGTCGTCGGTTCCTACGCTACCACGACCACCATCTCCTCCACTTGCACCACCTCGTACTAGAAACACATAGAAGAAGAAGGTTGATATTAGTTTTTTAAATCGACTCGCCATTTTCACAACTAATATCTGAAAAATATCTTTATTTTGCGTGAACAAATATGTAAAAAATATTACTAATCGATAATCAACATTTATATCCAATACAATACATCAAATAAAACAAAAATTCTTATTTTTTAGAATTATTCCTTTTATTTTAAAATCTGATTAACCGTAATTGATTAAATTAGATAAGGGTGTTAAAAATTGAATATATACATTATCTATATTTTCTCATAGTTTATATATTTTATAATTTCAAAAAATGTTAATCAATTAAATGGTTAACCGTGATTGGTCGTTTAAAATCTCATGTGGACAGATTTAGTTTATAGATTCAACTTTTAAATAATACTAGGCTATAAACCCGCGCTACGCGTCGGTATGTGTGAGACCCCAGTTTGCGGAGAGGTTTAAATGAATTGATTTGGCCACCTATGTCACCAAAGTGAATTTTTCTTTTCGGTCAAGGGTCCTGAGAGAACTCTACAGTTAAGCGCGCTTATTCTGGAGTAGTCTAAGGATGGGTGACCTTCCAAGAAGTGGTTGTCGGAACTGTGTGAGTGAGGCCAAAACACAGGGAAAGATCATGTGGTGATTTGTAGGATTGGTAAACAAGTATTTAAGCCTCCCAGACGTAGCAAACCGACCGTCAGTTATTAATCAGATCACAAGCCTAGTGAGAGGACGTGAGGTCCATTAAGAGAGGTGGGCCCATGGGATGGTGGTGAACGTAGGGCCCACTAGAAAGATGGCGGTCGAGGCATTACAAGTGGTATCAGAGCCGAAGCCAGACAAGCGTGGAGTGGTGGGCTCACACTATCAGGGGGTGACGATCGTTGTGCGCAACGAGGACGTTGCGATCTGTTAAAGGGAGAGAATTATGAGACCCCGATTGTGGAGAGGTTTAAATGAATTGATTTGGCCACCTATGTCACCAAAGTGCACTTATCTTTTCGGTCAAGGGTCCTGAGAGAACTCCACAATTAAGCATTTTTATGCTGGACTAGTCAAAGGATGAGTGACCTTCTGGGAACTGGTTATCGGAACTTTGTGAGTGAGGCCAAATCACAGGGAAAATCATGTGGTGAATTCTAGGATTGGTAAACAAGTATTTAAGCCTCCCGGCCATATCAAACTGACCGTCGGATATTGATGTGCTCATGGGCCTAGTGAGAGGACGTGAGGTCTATTAAGAGAGGTGGACCCATGAACTGGTGGTGAACGTGGGGTTCACTAGAGAGGTGGCGGTCGGGGCGTTACAAGTGGTATCAGAGCCGAAGCCAGACAAGTGTGGGTGGTGGGCTCACACTGTCAGGGGGTGACAATCGTTGTGTGCAACGAGGACGTTGCAGTCAGTTAATGGTGGAGAATTGTGAGACCCCGGTTGCGGGGAGGTTTAAATGAATTGATTTGGCTACCTATGTCACTAAAGTGCACTTATCTTTTTGGTCAAGGGTCCTGAGAGAATTCCACAGTTAAGCGTGCTTATGCAGGAGTAGTCATAGGATGGGTGACATTCTAGGAAGTGGTTGTCGGAACTGTGTGAGTGAGGCCAAAACAGAGGGAAATATCATGTGGTGATTTGTAAGGTCGGTAAACAAGTATTTAAGCCTCTCGGACGTAGCAAACCGACCGTCGGATATTAATGGGCTTATGGGCCTAGTGAAAGGACATGATGCCCATTAAGAGAGGTGGGCCCATGGACTGGTGGTGAACATGGGGCCCACAATATATCCCTTCCCTTTAACCAAAACTCTCAAGAAAAGCCCTAAATCTCTCATGAAATCACAAAATTTTTACTAGGAATGTTTAGAAACTATTCTCTTAAAGGAAGAAGACAAAAGCGGCTAAACACTCCAAAGTCAACTTCTTCTTCTTTTAAAAGTCGAGCCCTAGGGTTAAACCAATCCTCTCAAATCAATTTTGCGATTTTGAAAAAACTGATCAAACCAAAATTTGTTGGTGTCAATCGAAACCACCCATTTCTGAACTCCGGTGTTACACTGATGAGAGACAATTGAAAGCAAGATAGGTCACTAGTACTTTAAATTCGCTTAGATTCTCCTTTCAATAGTTCCATATTTTATAAATGTTATATTTCCAACATTTTTTGCAAAAATAAAAACACAAAAAAACTATTCATTATTCTAATAAGTGATTGCGTAAAACAAAACAACTTGTAAAAAATTAGGCTGCCAATTTATTTTTTTGGAAACAAAAATTCATACCATTAATATTTTTTTATTGTTTATAAATTGAAAAAATGAAATTCTGAAATTTGCAAACATAAAGGTTCACTTTGGTTTAACAAAAAAAATCAATCCCACGGTAGTTCTAAAGAAAATTAGAGCCCTCCGTGTTAGAACCGTTATAACGTGATTTTCCAGCAAGCTTCAGAGATGAAGGTGATGTTCACGTAACATGCTATATTGTTTATAAGTTGAGGACAAAAATCTGAATTTTCAAACTTATAAGTTCACTCGTTTATATAGTTTAACGCGGTTACCACGCACTAGAATAAGAAAAAATAGTAGATGTAGAAGATAAAAAAAACATTTCGATTGAAAAATATCGAAAAAGACTCTCCGTGGATTTCGAGCATGACGTGTTCATTTGTCTCCAGGATTCCAACAATCCTATTTCCTCACTTTCTTCTTAACAATCGGCTCTACCCCCTATAAACATCTCATATAGTTTTGTTTCAATTTGAGGGGATTTGCAAATACAACCTTTTTACCATATCCTTTTGCAAAAATATATGTCTTGTTGTTCATTTTCAAAAATACTCCTTGCTAAGTACAAAATGACTAAATTATCTTCATTTAGTGGAATTCATGATGAAGAAAATAATATTTCTTCCAAAAATAGAAATATTTCTTCCAAATTTTTTCCGTCAAAAACTTTTTGGACAAATTCTTTCCGCGAAAAATTTTGTTCCCGCCAAAAATTCCCAAAACAAAATTTTCTGGCTAAAACAAATATCCACCAAAAGTTTTCTGTCATAATTTTTCTGCTATTCTTTAAAAAATCTTTCATAACACCTTGTAAATATTTTTAAAACCCTTAAAAATCTTTTAAAATACGTGTTAAATCCTTTAAAAATCATTCGAAACCTTTTAAAACTCTAGTAAACTTTTTAAAACCCTTGTAAAAAAGCGTTGAAAATCCTTTTATAACCATTTAAAACTTTATAAGACCTTGTACATCCTTTTGAAAATCCTTGTAAACCCAAACACCTTGTAAATCTTTAAAAACCCTTAAAAATCCTTTAAACCTCCTTTAAACCCTTTAAAAATCATATAAACTTCTAAAACCCATTAGAAATCGATGTAAATCCTTTAATAAAAATTTTTGAAAACATCTATAATGCTTTAAAACTCGTGTAAATCCTTTAAAACCCCTTTTAAACCCTTTTAAATGCCTTTAAAACACTTGTAAATCTTTTTTAAAACCCTTGCTTATGCGGGATAATTTTGCGGGATAATTCTGTAATATCTTTCTCATAGATTTATGTCTTTGTCATCATCGATCTACGTCTCTATCATCATCGATCTCACCTTAATGGTCTCCATATATCGTCTTCGGCAAGTTCTAACGGCTTCGATTATCTACTATTTCGTTTTTCTCCGTCTTCCTCTCATTAGTCATTTGATTCCACTTAATCTATTTTGTTGTAATTAGTGTTCAGAGTAGTGTATTGATTAGCCAAATATTCGATGTCAATTCAATGCACTTAGACAAATCAAAGGAAGTGATAAATGGTACGATCAATCTCTCTTCATATGACTTGTGGTCAGAACATAAGATCATTAATATTAGACACCAACATTATTACAATAATTAAACAACCGTGAACAAGATAGCGACGTAGGAAAAGGCATGAACTAAGAGAGTTTGTTCATAGCAAAGGCGACTGACCTGTCTCGAATCTGGATTCCCAACAACCATCTGGTGTTCATTTAATCTCATTAAAAAGAAAAATAGTCATGGTATGAGGATGGCTTTGATACAATCATTTTGGTGTGCACCATGATGTTATTATGCCATTGATATGTTAGTAAGAGAATAGCATTAGGACGTTATGCTTCAACACCAAGAGAATAGCTAAGCTCACTATTTATCCTTGACCAAGAAATACTATTGGTAAGACAATGATAATATCATCAATATATATTATGATATAAAGCTAGACACTTGTAACAAGCAACTCAAGGGATAAAGCTAGTTAAAATTCAGAATACTGCATACTTTTAAGTGTAAGGAATAATTTTGTTTCCCTATCATGTGATTAAGCATGTTTCTTCAAAGATTTTAAGATTCATATAAATTGCACATACATTCAGCTCCAAATACCAGGCACAAGCTATATATTGTAGTGTATAGTAAAATACCAAGTACGATACATAGGTTTTATATTGCAAAGTTCTAGCTAATTCGCACAAATATTAAATAACAAATGTATTTTTAAAAAATAGCCAAATAAAAATTTATAGGTTACATAAAATCTTCAAGAGATAGTGTAACAAAAAAATAAATTCAGAAGACTCAAATAACAATATAAGAAAAAGGGTGTAACAAGGGACAAAATCAATAAGAAAATAATTATTGCAACCATGCAAGGTTATAAACCAATTCAATAGTAAGGTGTCTTTGGGACATATGGTGGAGATGGAGACTTGTAGTCGACCTTAGGAGAAGGAGAGTAATAAGGTGGTGGTGGGGAGCTGTAGACGTATGGGGGAGGTAGAGACTTGTAGTTGACCTTAGGAGAAGGAGAGTAATAAGGTGGTGGTGGGGAGCTATAGACGTATGGTGGAGGTGGGGACTTGTAGTCGACCTTTGGGGATGGAGAGTAATAAGGTGGTGGTGGGGAGCTGTACACGTATGGTGGAGGTGGAGACTTGTAGTTGACCTTTGGAGATGGAGAGTAATATGGTGGCGGTGGGGAACTGTAGACATATGGTGGAGGTGGAGACTTGTAATCAACCTTTGGGGAAGGAGAGTAATAAGGTGGTGGAGGAGAGCTGTAGACGTATGGTGGAGGTGGAGACTTGTAGTCGACCTTTGGGGATGGAGAGTAATAAGGTGGTGGTGGGGAGCTGTAGACGTATGGGGGAGGTGGAGACTTGTAATCAACCTTTGGGGAAGGAGAGTAATAAGGTGGTGGTGGGGAGCTGTAGACGTATGGTGGAGGTGGCGACTTGTAGTCTACTTTAGGAGAAGGGGAGTAGTAAGTCGGTGGTGGTGGAGATGTGTAAACATATGGTTTCGAATGTGGGGTGTGCTTAGGACCTTGTCTTCTATATTGTAGTGGAGTTGGAGGTGATGCCGAATAGTATGGAGAATACTTTTTAGGTGATGAATAAGGTGATTCGTGTTTGTAAACCGGAGAACTGTATTGGGGTGTTTGAGGGGAGGAGTAAGGATATGCTGTCACTGTAGCCGCGATGGCACTCAAGACCACGACATAAACCATGCAATGCACTCGTCCCACCATTCTTGAGGAGATCATAATACTCATCCCTACTCTTTTGGTTTCTTTGTTTTGGTTATGATTTACTTGGAAATGAAAGTCCTTTATATAGTCTTTTTCTTATGTGTGGGTAAATATTATAGTATCTTCCCAACTTGGGTTCGTGTATGGCACTTTGAAATACATCTAGAGGACGTGCTAAGTTGTTTTTTGTTGGAAAATAGTGATGTGTGGGATGTATGAATAATTATTAGATTCTCTAGCAACTTTCAATAGGCTTAAGATGTTTTCATATTATTCTGTTTCATGTATATTGACTTAACTTGTTTTAAGAACATAAAGAACAAGTTTACTGAAAAATTGTTTAGCCATAACGAAGGTATTACTTTATGTATCACATTCACATGCTATTTAGATTGATACCATAAGAGTTTTGGGTCATGTTTCTTATTGCTGAAGGATGATTATGCAAACATCATATAAACACATAAATTCAATGTTCTATGAATAAAAAACTCTATAATTCTCATTTCTCGTTGTTTACATATGCATATGCTTCTTTAAATGTTTTGTGGCAACAAAAGCACATATCCTTTGTTAATGCTTTAAATTATAACTTATATGTAAAGAACATCTCTGAAAGAAAAGAAGAACTTTTTTGAAGTTCAATCTTTCATTATTGATCTCTTTTTGTCTCGATTTAAACAAGTCGCAATCCATGACAAGACATATGTTTTTAGTTGGCATTGTCTGTTCTCATACCTGCAGTAATTGAATCAATGAGTTTAAGAAAGGCAATGTGATTGTCGCAATCCAACAAATCTTTATTCCTCGATCATATTTCAACCCTCCAATGATACGGCTGAGTCCAGCTCTATTCGGTTAAGTCGAACTGTCCCAAGGATATACTCTGGCAGATCGGTTTCCTCCTTTCCCTGCATTTGCATTTGGAGTTGAACATGTAACTATCTAACCGATGATTGCATTCAAACTAAAAGTTTAAGCACTCCTGTATAAAGATATGATAACTCCAGCAGTGAGACTCTAAACGAACCTCGATCAAGATGGCAAGATCAACAATGAGGCTTGTGACATAACCAAGGACCAGACCAATAACGCTCCTCGCGACAGCCGATGATCCAATATCTACATCAATCTGCAGCACCACGATTTCATAAGAACTCAGCAACTATGTGTGTAATAATTGTCTACATGATCATGCGTCTTTATATAGGACATGTACTGTGTTTTTTTGGACATATCTATTGCAATGAAAGAACGAGAAAACTAGAAACTATTATACCTCCAAAAAATTATCCTGCCTCAGGTACTTGCAGGTTACAGCTTTACCGAGCAAGCAGGCTTTTGTTCCAACAGCACGCTTGACCATCCAATATCCCTGTGATTCACCATGGCTGTTACAATGTAATTAAGATTACTATATTTCAGAGGGGACGTGAAGAGAAGAGTTTACTTACCTGAACAATACTTGGAATTAGCTTAAATCTTGCGTCACGGTAACTGTCACTCCCGTCCACAAATTTTCCCAGGGATGAAGACTTGTTTACAGGTCGATCCGCAGCATAGTAGAGTACCAGACAATAGTTAGGCTTTGCTGGTACCTGAAAAGGGGGAAAAAAAACGTTTTGACTTCTTTCAGATACTAACTTGACCCATAAGAGTTAGATAGCCTTTAAGTAGGGAAAAATGATTGGTTATAAATTGTGATTTTACTATCACAATCACAATCACAATTCCAAAATACGAGAAAATATGTGTGACACATTTTTACAGATAATCAAAGACGAATGAATGGTTTAGCGACACAATATTCATTAAAAGCTTAATCATTTAGGTTGAGGTATTTTCCAACTAGACATTAGCGCTTCCCTATTCAAACAAACTTTTAATAAAAAGACTGACATATACATATAGAGTTTATGTTGCAGATAGTATTCAAACCTGAAGATTGATGACTAGAATGAATGGCAGCTTTTTCCCAGCGTCTGACTACAATAGAGAAAACTTTCAAATCAGGCACATTCAACCACGGGGAGACTATATAATACACGCTTCAACTCATTGATAACTTAAAGAGTATCACCAGACTTAGCCACAATGCGAAAATGGCATACAATGCTGGATGATAAATTGAGGTCCGATGACAAGTCGCACTTAACAATGGTTTTTAATAGGAAAGGGGGCCGCAAGTGCTAGTTAAAGACGGTTCAAGGGAGTACCTGGACAAGACATTTCGGATGCAGGGCGATGTTGTCTACAGCTTTATCAACTTTAAACCAGTCCACGGATACAAGTGTCAGAAGGGGCTCCCCGCCCATCACCTTAAATTACACCATAGATTAAATTTGCACAGTTTAACATGAGGAAACAATTGTTGAAGAGACTTTGTTAGATAATCCAACTCGAGAATCAGAAAATCAATCTGGAAAACTAATACGCACAGTTGTACCCTAAGTTGAGAGATATAAAGAAACTGAAATCAGTATATCAGAAGAAGTTGAGTAATATCGTTAAGTCAAGGAGAATATTTCTACAAAACATGCCCCTCATTGTTTTCTATTCCATTTCAAACAATGTCTGAAATCAACTATAGAATATTAACGTAGGTGCAAGAATTTCAAAGTTACCTTTGCATTATCTTTTAGGTAGGTCTTTCCCCTAATCATAAACCCCATGCCACTAGGAGAGTTCCAGCAATTTGAGTCCTTATCACCATTTCCTTTGCGCAGGGATCCTTGGAACTGACTTGGGTCGATAGTCACAGGACCAACACTAGCGTCTAATACATTACTTGCGCCTGGAGCTAATGTCAAAATAGAGCTGCTATATTAATGCACACTGAGATTGTAAAACAATATAGAAAAATGCTTTTTAATTCTAATTTGTTTTAAATGTTTGTATATTTACAAGTTGTTCCCTTTTTCCTGACATAGAACTCAAGAATGGACTAGTTACAAAATGGTAACTACAACACCTATATAGATTTTTTCATTCTCATCTAAATAAAGTAGTTCTTTGTAAACAAAATGCTTGCATATACATATCAAGCCATACACTCTGAAACTTTTGATTAACTTTGGGAACAAATACTGATAAGAGGTCCTCAAGTTACTTATTATAGATATAAATCATACATATATTGATTCCATTATACTACCTATGTGAGTCATTGGTATACTTAGTCGTTGGAAAACTTAATGGACTAGCAAAAAAAGTAAAGAGAAAACCTTTAGGCCGCTTCAAAGATAAACTAGCAATTGCCCATGAAACATTCTTCAGTTTTACTTTTATCTCCTGTTTTTAACATTGAAACAACAGAATTCAATATTATTTTAATAATTTCAATACAACTTTCTCACCTCATGGGCACAAATATTTCTTAGGAACTTTGAACATCTTAGAACAGCTTTTTGCCTTTTCATTTTAGTATATCTAGGGCTGAAGTATAGGCAGTGATTAGGAGGTTTATCAGTTTTCCCAAGGAGTTACCTGTTTATACCAAGAGAAACGCTTTCTGTGTTTTTGGGTGTTTTATTTTAATCCTTCTGGTTAAGGATTAGATTAAGAAGATCTTCTGAGTGTTTTATTTCTCTCCATGATTCTTTATTTTGTAAATATGAAAAAAATTTCTATATTGACAAGAAGATATCAAAACCAAGTAGTTACCTTATTGTCCTGCTCGTCATCATCTTCATCGCTTTCCTCTTCATCAGATGATGAGTCTGTGGCATCATAAAACTGCTCCTCCATTTCCTCATCTACATATTCACCATTGGAGACATCTGGTAACTTGGACTCTATAACCGTTGCAGAAGTTTCATACTTGAAGGCTGGGTTTGCTCCAATGTACTCCTTCAGACCTGATATACCATTAACAAGAACTTGAAACAAAAACCATGTAGAACTTGAAACAAAACCCGTGTGGAACTTGTGACATCTAATGTAGTCAGAGTTCAGGCATATACTTTTAATAGCATGCCAGCTAAAGCTTATTAGTTTCTATGCCCAAAAAAGAAACTTCCAATTGTTGCAAACACGAAGCATAATACATGTATACTTATCCCAAACAAGTGTGGATAGTGAACGCTAATCTATATCACAAGACAAATAAATCTTCAGATGTGCTCACAAGAGTCTCCATTTCTCAATAGATGTTATATATACCACAAAGATAACATCTCGACTTCTTACTCATTTTTTGTGTTCATACTCTAAAATAAGATCTGGAAGGAGATAGTCATGCATCTAACCTGCTACTTGGAGAAGTAATGCATATGGAATAGTCTTTTCAAACTTTGAGTAGCTAGTTCTCTTCCATTTGCACCAACGTTTAGAGTGGATTTCTAGCATATGTGTGACAAGACAACTTGCAGTCTCTGCATCGCTGCGCTTTTTTAAGCTTCTGATTTCCCAAGTGGATGCTAAAATCAACAAGAACAAAAAAGAAATGGAAGTTTTAGAAGAATGGGGTATATACCTTGATAGGCATTGTGTAAGTCCACAGTAAGCAAGAGCACTACAGATTCAGTGAGTAAGAAGAAAGGCAACATATACAATAAAGTAAGTAAAAATGGAAAGACAGTAGAATAAAACACTAGACCAGCATCCCATATGATATGGTTTACAAGCCAATAAAATTTCCCCAAGCCTAAAATTCAGTTCTAGATTTTGTAAGCTAGCTGCAGAACACAACACAATTGCAGAGACAGATGGGCAAGTAAGCACAAGCAACTAAGTATACACAGAACCTCTGGCTATAGAAGTACCAATTCAGAACAGATTAGTGTTGGAAACACTTGCATAGTAACAAGGAGACTGTATTGCCACCAGACATGCAGCATAGTGAAAAAGGCAAACACTACGAAAAGAAAGGTTAAAAGAAAATATCTTACGTGTAATATCTGTTCGTCGATATCCAGACTTTGGAGGCCGTTTCTTATGTACTGCTGGAAATTGTAAGATTGCTGCATACAAAAATACAGCATGAGAAAATGAATAGCTTGAGATATTCAATTAAATACAACTACAGCCCAAACACTTCACTAACCACCTAGTGACATGGCTTATATTAATCTCTACCATTATGCATAGACAAACCAGACACCAGATTGGTAAAGAAAAAAATATCTAGAATAGATTGTTCTCTACTTACTATATGTTCCGTCTTGCCCACGAACCCACTGTCTAGAGAAGATAAAGTCTCTCTTCGATTGCCATCTGCAGAAGATACTATTTAACCAATCAGTTTAATGAAAAAACTGTAAGTGTAAAGCTATTCACTGAATGAAGTGATAGATGCAAAAAAATATACAACATGCCTAAACAACATACCGTGAAAGATATTTAGGATCGTATACACAGTAAATAACATCATAGTGGCCCTCGTATGAGTCTATCTTTTCTGAATCACCTGTTACTGCATCCCACCTGTGTGGATAGTTAGAAAGGTCCAAGTACCAAAAGACATCTATCTATATATTCAAAGAAATGAGCTTACTCGTATCTTTGTTGTTTGTCAATATTCAAAAGCACTTCGAACACAGAATCTGCACTAGCTTCAACTACAGCAACTGCTTTCACAAGAACTCCTCGACCAGCCTAAAGAAGAATTGATCAGAACCTGACTACCTGAGGGGCCTTCTAAGCATTCAACAAATAATTGAATACAGCCAATTACAGGTCTTCCCAGTGAACTACCAGTTGCAAAACAACCAAGTACAAATATTAATTTTCACCTTAGCTTGACATAAATTATCGCTATTATTATAAATGCATAAGTTCTGGAGATGAGAAAACTTAGTTATAGGATCTAATTTAAAATTGTTACCTTGCCAATAAGAATTAGTAAGATGCAAATCACAAGATAGCAAATATTATAATGGAAGAATAAAATAAGATGGTTCAGTTTCCATTCCTCTGGGAATAATTTAACGCAATTCAGAAGGACAAAAGACCCAATCGTCTCCCACACCAATGTACTAATGGCTTTTTCAACCCGTAGACCAATCTCTTCTCATTGGTCCGAATTTATAATCCAAGCAGTTCTGCTATAGTTGGAAATGTATTCTCTGAATAAAAGTAAATATACCTTGAAGTTAGCCACATCTTCAAAAATCCTAACACCTGCAAACAATATACAGAAAAATATATAATTGAATGTTATGTATAAAGAGCAAGCAAAGAAAAAGATCAACATGTTTAGGCATTATAGTCTCGAAATTCTGAACAATAAGGACTACTATATTACCATACAACCTTCAGATTAGTGATTAAAAACAGCCACCTAAATAAACTGGACAAGTATGTCTGCATTCTTTCAGTTTTTATGAGTCTACTACAATTATAAATGATAGAGAAGTATACATAATAAAAAGGAGACACCACATTAAATGCATTTTAAAGCATGGTTATCGCGTAAATAAATGGGACATTCTAATTGACCCCACTATTGGTTCAGTAGATGAAAAACTGTTATGAGTAGGTTGTCTGATATCAAAACTCGACTGTGTACTGCCAAACATACCATTGATTGTACGTACACATTTCCACATATGTGCCTCGATTGCATCTCCATTGTCACCACCCTCGTAGAAACCATCACCTCTGACCTCATTAACCAAGGTAGAGGATTGCCTCAAAAGAGTCTCTGGACCTGTCAGTTTAAGAACATAATCACACATCTTTGTTTTGGACGAAAAGTAACTATCAGGTGAACCCTAGTCTTGTTCATGAATAACCACTTGATAAAGATATTAAGAAATCAATTTAACTAAGGAACCAGACCTATCAATGCATAATAAACTCAAGAATTGAAGGATTATAACTATTGTTTCAATAATATATAGAGGAGATGAGGATAATATATATTTGAATATGGTATCGATCTAGTTTTATGAGAAATAATCAGAATCTTTAGCACACACATTACCCCAGTATATCATTTTGCATGTGCCCAACACAAAGATAGGGGGGATTAGGAAATAGCAAAGAATTCTAGAGTAACTTTTTTAAAATGTAAGATTTGACGATTCCTTTATAAGCTACTACACAAATTATACACTATATATATGAGAAAGTTGACTAAATAACATGACAGCATTTTCACTTCCTCTTTTGAAAAACCATGTCTGAACGTTTAGGCATACTTGTGGAAGATTCTGGAGCTAAACAAGTCCATAAACTTGAGATAAAGCATATTACCTTGCCCAATTCGGATAAGCTTTTTTAACCCATAAGCATAACGCCTTACTCTAGGTCGATGTCCTTCCAGATCGATGCTTCAAAAAACAAAAAATACAAGAGTGTGATTCAGCAGTACGTAGTGGACTTTTACTATTGGAGACAATCTCATCTGGTTAAGAACAGAGACTATAACATCAGAATGTTATGCATTTTCTGTTGGAAGAGCCTCATCTTCTCCGTAATTGAACAGTTAGTCCCCCAAAACAGGAATTAAGTAGCTACTAGTAAATATCATCTAAGGCACTAATAATATGATAATTAGATCATACTTGGCCTCCACGCTTAACTTCGTTCTTGTGCTTCCGCCTCTCGATAGTGCATATTCCGCCTTCCAAAACAGGATAAAGCAGTAATCGGAATTTATTTTGAAAGTTATAGCTAATACCTCATCCCAATAAGCATTATATTAATGCTCCAACAATAGCAAAATGAACTGTAAAAGTAGCCAATCATATGCAAGGAAAACTTCAATACATTACATGATGCTATACAACTTGGACACAGTCTCCGTAGTACCTGCTGTTTTGCTTCCTCAAAAGCCTCCACCCATTTCAAGGCTTCTCCAGCAGTAGCACAAGCAATCTAAAATACAGTTTCCAGAAAGAAAAAAAAGTTATTTAATGCACCTGGGTTAATCTAGAAACAATATAATTCTAGATTCTGATATGTACTTTCATGGTAACAAAACTGTTTACAAACGAACTTCAAGGCATTTGCTCAAAAAGTTAACTAATTGGTTCATCCAAGTGTGCAATTACACAAAACAAATCGTAGGCCTTCCACAGAGCAAACTCATCATGTTCACAGTGGCAAGCTTTAAGTATAGTGAGCATTTGGCACAAGCATTTGTCACAAGTATATTGCAAAGATGGAAATTGAACTTACTTCTCCTTTTTTAGACTCGTCCAACCGGTTATAGAACCTTATCACGTACACATCCTACAAAATACAATAGAAATAAACTAGTAAGTGTACTTGTTTCATTTAGACTCAAACTCTCATTTATAAGAGCATACAACTAATATGCAAAACAGGGAAAAACAGATCTATAATTTACGCAGATTGCAGTTATAGAAGCTGAGACTGAAATGAATTACCCCCTGATTAACTTTTCGACGTCCTAGCTCTTCAACCATCATTGTCGGCCCTATAACACCACGCCTTATAGGTTTCTATAGAAACAAAAAAAAAAAATCAAACGGATATAATAGAATTTCAAAACACATCAAAAAAAAACAACCAACCAACATCTAAGTACAGCACTATATCCTTCAGTAATGCAACAATGGATTCAAAACCATGAAAAACCTTGATAAACAAAGATCACGACCCAATAACACACCTACACAGTTCTTACTGATAGATACCATATACTTACCATTTTCATAAACTAAGCAAAGAAACAGTTCCCTATGAAATTTCCAAGCAACCAAGCAAAATTTTCAACAGCCACGGTTGTTTCTTGTAACACCCAGATTCTCAAACACTAAATATACTAAAGATTCAAGCAAAATTCCCAAAAAAAAAATCCAGAAAACACCAAAATCAAGGGAAAGGGAATTACAATGTCAGGGTTCTCGTGAGGATCTCTTTTATACATCTCAACGTATTTGCCTCTAATGAAAAGGAAACGGAGATTACAGTACTCATGACCGATCTTATTCACACCCAAATGATACACCCATCCAAAACACTCAAAGGTTCCTCCTCCTCCTTCTCCGCCGCCGCTGCTACGACTACTACTTCCACTATCATTAACATCTCCGGTGAAACTAACTCTTCCGAGGTTCCCGGAAACATTCTTCTCCGATCCTTCGCCGGTAACAACTTTCTTCGATCCAGGCGACGTCATCGCCTCCTTCCACCGGATCAATCAAACGCGAAACACACAGATTCGAATCGTTCGTTGCTTCATTCAATTTTCAATTTTAGAATCCACTTTTTTTTTTTTTTTGTTCGTCCTCTTCAATTATGGAGGTTGGGTTTGGGTTCATTGATTCTGAGCCTACTACTCTACGACAAATTTATGTTATCCAATATAAACATTCCACGTCACGTAAATGCTAATGTATGTTTGTGTTTTTGCTATTTTCTTACTTTGCTGCATTAAAACAAAAAATTAGGTGAGATTGTGGACATGTTGGATAAAGTTAAAGTTAAATTCATTATTACGCTTTCAGTTAATAAGGTTGAAAAAAACTTACCCAAAACAAAATAGTTGACAGATATTGCATTCTTGTGTGAAAAAAAAAAACAAAACCAAATGTGCCGAATGGAAACCGAACCGAAATTAGTGTAACCAAAATTAACTAAAAATCGAATAGATTTTACACTCTGAAACTATGATCCAAAAGTATCTGAAACTGAATCGTACCAAAGCAAAACCAAATCGAGAACCGAAGAGATATATGAAATATCTGAAATACAATTCTTTACCTGAAAGTATTAGTTATTTTAGACTGAAAAACTAAAAAGTTTCCAAAAATATAAAGATAACTAAATAATCAAACGAAAAAACCAAATTATCTAAATACTTGAATCAAAACCAAACCAAAAGTATTTAAAATTTTTTGAAAACACTAAAAATATCCGAAATATACCTGAATTAACTCAAAATATCGGAAGTTTTTGGTTAGAACCAAAACAAAAAAAAAAACTCAAAAATAATTTTGGTGTTAGATCGGTTTCTTATTTAAATTCCCGAACCAAACCAAAATGGAAAGGAAGCAAACCGAGACCAAACAAAAAAACTTTTAAAAAAACAAATGGATAATAATTTGAATTTCAATATCCGATCCAAAAACCAAAAATACTGAACCGAGATCGAACCGAAAATCCAAATGCCGAGGACTAGTTTAAGATTTTGCCATAATATCCAGTTACTTTATAATATGGCTAGGACTAGTTCAAGCTTTTGCCATAATATCTAATTACTTTATAATATGGTTAAAGATTTATCATCCAACGCCACAAGTGGTACCAATTTTCCTTGCATGTGGGAAATACGGATAGAGACCATTCGTCTACCAATCAGAAGAAGAAGTTTCCTAAGCTCAAAATAGAGAAAAGCTCATAGCATTACCAACTAGAAATCAAAGTTAGCTGCCATTAGGAGACTGATGACCAACTAGAAATCAAAGCCGTCGTAGTAGACGAGAATGTTCTTGGATGTACGTGATTTGGCTTTCATATATATGTATCAAAGTGAGGTTACTCTTTTGGTTATGTGTCACTATTTAATACAATAATCACAATTTCGTTTGCCCCAAATTCAGATTATCAACACTTTGAGACATAATCAAAGTAGAGAAACTATGGACAAAAAGTAGCAGCATCACTCTAGGTTTCGTAGATGAGCAACAACATTAGCTTCCTTGCTTTACGAAAACACGCTGCTCAAGAACCCCCTGCAAGTATCCCTAACATTTAGCTTTACACACATGCACATATCCATCCTCATTTGTATAACTAAGTCGTGTTCATTACCAGATTCCTGACGGCTTCTTGCTTTGATCCCTGAATGTGGAAAAAACATTCTCAGTTATTGTTCAAAATGATTATAAAGCCAGTGTTTTAAGAAGCACTATTGGAAACAATTTTACCGCGATTTTCCAGAGAAGGCATCATCGATTTGCTCAGGGGTTGGCCTTTCAGAGAACGTTGCTAGCAAGACATATTTCTCCTTTCCGTCTTCCTCGTTCACCCTCTTGTAAAGCTCATACCGGTAAGGATAAGACATCCTGACCAAATTCAGGTCAAAGATTCAGAATGAATTGACATTGATAACAATACCTCACAACCTAACAACTGTACCTTAGAGCACCCATAATCGGGTATTGTGTTCCCAAATAATAGAGGAGCCGGAATACATAGCAGTTGTCAAACGTTAAGGCATATTCAAGCCTTTGCTCCCTGCCCATTGTCTGAGACACCAAGGAAATTATAAGCAATGTAACCTTTCTATCAGATGGTTAGGAAATCATTGTGTGTGCTTACTTGCATTATTCCACTTGAAGCGGGTAAGTCCTGAATGTAATAAAGTTTTATCAAACATGTAACACACAAAAGATAACAATTTTACCACATAATCTTTGTATAGAAAATACACACAAAAATGTACCTTGAGGCGAGGATTAATAAGTACAACTGGCCTTTTCCCAGCAGCAGTAGTCATCGCTTGTAGATCCTAACAAAAGAATTCAGTATATTTTATTATAAGATGAGATGACTCTGTTCAAGTGAATGACTACTTCTAGCATTTCAAAGCACCTTACATCTATAATACAGTTCCCAACCGCATTTTGTGGAGCCACTAAAATAAATATATCGTCGTCTTCATCAACTTCTTTACCTCCTGTCATCGCGGACACAGCTTTGTTCATATATGCCTCAAAAGAATCAAAGAGCAGGATAATGTGTTTTTAATTGTATCCAGACAAATATATCTAACTTCTTATGCATCACAAGTTTGATTGTGTACACACAACAATATTCTGAGATGGTGCAGTTCTTGTAAGATTCTCTTGTTACTAAACTCAGACAAAATGGACTATGATAATGTCGAGAGGTATTTTTTAGTGTTTTGCCGATATATTTTGTAAAGTACTGAGTTTCGTATGTTACCAATTGCACCAAGCTTGACGAAAGTTCCCAAAGTTTCATCATCACCCCAGTCCATATATTCTAAAATCTTTCTAGTGCCTGCCAACTGCAGTGGCATCCCAGCGAGTGCACCTTCCCCCATTGAACCCTGAACACAAACCTGGAAAGGGGAAAGAAGCTGACTGAAAGAGAATATCCAAGTGAGACATCACTGAGTCTACCAAACCAATGTATACCTTCACTCGTTTTCCATCGTCAGCAAATGATAACGCTAGAGTTCGGACAAGTTCCATCAAGGTTCCTATCCGGTAAACATCCTATATATATCACAATAGCTTGTGAGTTTTGATAAAACTTGTGAAGCATTAGAAATAATAGAAAATAACTAGTGAAATGAATAACTGACCATTTCCGGATTTAGCTCTGGGATATTTATGTCCACCTAATCATTTGTAACAGTATCAGTCAAGTCAAACCTAACATGCTACACTGCAAATAGATTTGTGGGGATCAGCTCACCCGAAGACGTGAGTTCCCGTCCTTGATAGATCTAATTGTGGCTTGCAGGACATCTTCGTAAAAATAAGCCCTGATATCCCTCGAATGTGGAATGTTATTCAGTCTCGTCGGTATTCCTCTCCATTTATCCTGGAAGAAATGTTACATGACATAGATAAGAAAAACTCCAAATTTACTTCCTTCTACTTGCTACTTGGTAGCTTCAAAGAGAAGTATTATTTACGAACCTGAACAGGAGATGCTTTATCTGCAAGGACCTGTTTCAGAATTAGCGTCGCATGCATACAGTGGGAATCAAATCAAAGTTAAACAAGGAGTAAAAGGAATAATTTAGTCCTACAAAAGAATGATTGACCATAAAATCTTCAAACATACTAAGGGAAGTTAAGAATGATGGTATCAAAACTATAAGAACACCATAAAGATGGGTTTTTTTTTCTAATGGACACAAAGAGACGGATTACTGAAGAAAGCATTTTCTAAATAACCTAAAGTAGAGACTTGACAAAAGTTAAGATTGGGAAAACTCATCTTGAACTGGAAAACACTGACCCTGCTATCAAGAATGGCACCACGAAAAATAATCATATACAAATGTGTGACTACTTGCCAGTCTTTATCATTCTGTTTAACTGTATCTGAGACAATAGAGTCTGCGTCTCCTCGAAAACCACTTCTTTTGGCCTGTTTGCATCAATCTGTGTTTGAATGGGATGGTACCAAACCAAAGTTATAAATGATGGTATCCCAATACTTTTAAGAACTAAAGCAAGAAAGGAAAAAAATTGCCTAATACCTTGACCATAACATCCGAGTATGCAGAAATAATCGCTTCAGAATTTTGTTTGTATATCTGCAGACGTGCTTTTACCTTCACCAAACTAAACAAATGAGATTACAGTTAAAGATAGTTAAAGATTGAGGAAGCGAGTAATAAGTCCTAAGTCTTACCTTCTCCTCTGTATCATCAGGGCGTGTAACCAGTCTTGCTTTAATTTCATCTGATTCTGGAGGGTAATTTTTAATGTGATAAATTTTTCCAGTCACTGGATCCAACCTCCTACCAACACATCTGTCGATTAGAATTTCATCAGGAACCTGTTATTAAGAACGGAAAATAAGCAAAGAACCATAGACACATATAATATTGCCTTTAACACCTATTGAGAAAATGGATACCATACGCAATAAGAGCAATTTGCACGTACATCTAATAAAAGAAAAATGTCAGGTTTGACGTTCAGTTTGTCCAGACTTTGTGCCTGAGCAAAACTTCGAGGAAATCCATCAAGAAGCCATCCTTTCTCTTTAGCATCTTCACGTGATAATCTTCCAGCCACCATCTAGAAAAGTAGTAGATATCAGAGGAAGAATGATAGAAATAATATATATATGAAGAAGGTAAGTGAAATCAGTACCGCGATAACAATCTCATCTGGAACCAAACTACCAGAATTCATGAACTCTTTTGCTCTCTTTCCAATATCTGTCCCGGCTGAAACTTCTGCCCTCAAGAGATCTCCCGTTGATATGTGCACCAAACCAAACTGCATGGGCAAGAAAGAAAAACCTGACATGATCTACAACTAAACATGCAAACATCAACAGCATAATCTTAAACATAGTGAAGATGCTGAAGGTAAAAAAAAGAAAAAAGAATAGGGTTACAAAACTAAAACAAGAGCAGATATTTCCTATGTTGTTTACAAGCTCTGCTCGTTCTCCTTTTCATACGACACAACATCCATATCGTATTACTTAACGGTTTCACAGATTCTAGTTCGACATCGTGTTTAAACACAGAGAGAAGATCATATACATTGTTTTGTTACTATAAAATGCATATTCTGGAT